GACAAACGTGGCACTATTTTTCTAAAATTAAGGACCAAAATGAGCCTTTTTAATTGTTGGGGACCAAAAGAGGCTTCGTGGAAATTGTCAGGGACGAAAAAGAGTATTTACTCTAGCATAAAAGTGTTACAATATTTGTTTTTCTTATATTTAAAAAAATTTGAAAAAACAATTATAAATGCTTATAAATTTAATGTGTTCTATATATTATGTAAAAGTATTTAAATCCTTTTTCTTTAAAAACTTTAATTAAACATTGGGTGAAAAATAAGAAAACATTCATTTAGCCACTAATGAATTGGTACATATAGCTAACCTTAAATTGTTACACAAAGCAAAATTCGGGAGAAACAATATAAATAAAGATTGTTAAGAAAATATTTATGATACTAAGTGTTACGATCTGATAATGTCCAATCAGAGATTGATATGTTAATATAGGATCTGTTTGTCCTCTCTCAGGTACCTATAGGAGAGGTACCCTAAAGATAAGCGGATCACTGTGCACTTTAATATAACGATATAGTCAAGACGTGGGGTGTGTGCACAGTGACAAGCTAAGAGAGATGGTTTAGAGTGTGTGTACATTATTGGTTTAACCCTTTATTTATAGATGGGTTACTTGGCAGAAGCGGATTTTTGGGCCTCTTAGGAGTATTGGGATCCAATTGTTGATCATTTACTGTCGTAGTAGGATTAGTATATTTAAGGAATATTTCCTTAATTCCCTCTTAGCAGTTAGCCATATTTGGACCTTCTAGAATGTCGGCTGCTTAGCTGTCTGGATAAGATCGTCATTAATAAAAGATTCCATTCTTGTTTGTGTTGTCCTTTATTGGACCTTCTAGAATATAGACCTTTGTCAGGTCCATAACACTAAGGAAAAATATTTCCCTTACAATCATAGAAGATAAAGTTATATGAAAAAACTTCAAAATATTATTATTTTGGAGTTTAGGTAAAAATACAGGGTATTTTAAAATTTTTATTATAATATCCTGTATTTTTTTTTCTAAATATCAAAATGACATTATTTTAAATTTGTAAGAAATAACTTATCTCCTGTTAGGGAAAAACGTTAATCCATAATAAAAATAAGATACACCACGTAAACAAACCTTAGTTTACTGCCCATCGTCACTTTAAATCAAATTTTTTTTTTTTTTTTTTTTTTTTTTAACAATTACTTCAAATCGTTTAACATTTCGTGCCCGGTGGGAGGATTTTTTTTAATGAAAACCAAACTGGCCTTTCTAAAATGAAAAACCTTTCATGACCCGGAAAGTTCTGTCAGATGAAAAAAAAAAAAACATTGAAAGAACTATTATATTATGTCATTCATATACCAATACAATGAAGCTAATACATTATTAAAATTCAATAGAGTCAGAAACCCTTCGCCAAAACCTGTAGTCGTGGGGCCAGGGCTCTAGTAAGCCTTCATCAAAACATTAAGTCAAGGATCAACATCTAAATTTCTTAACATTTTAATTTCTTTCTAGCAACCAACATCCAGAAAGGGAGCAATTTAAAGACTGATTATTTAAGAAATAATAGTTATCATCCTCTATTTGCTACTTATATTTGTTGACTTTATACATTTATTATAAGATCCAATAACAACTAAAAAATTTACAACTAATAAAGATCTAAAGATCTTGGGTCTCGAAAAAAAAATTCAGACAAATGAAAAAGAATTAACTTACATTGACATAAATATTTAATAATAAGTTCGTTTATCCCATTTGAATTTAGGGTCTTTGAATTATTAATTAATATTAATATGTAATAGTTTTTATCATTAATCTTCCCATGAGTTTGAAATAAATTGATTGCGCGTAAAGAAAAAATAAAGTAGTGATTTCTTAATTTTTTTGTAATATTTTAGAGTATATAAAAGGAATAAATACAAATACTAGATACAAGACTGGAATGTAACCGTGCATAATATATATATATATATATATATATATATATATATATATATATATATTTTTTCTTTTAAAAATAATTAAAGAATTGATTTATATCAAAATTGATATTTGTAATAACAATTTTAAAGAAATTAAAAACATATGTAGAAAGATGATTGTGTCTTTCAATGTAAAGCTTTACATATTGTGAAAAGTAACAATGTTTTGGCAATTGCATGCACACATATTTATTTGCAGCATCTTAGATCTGCATAAAACACACATATATATATATATAGCATAAAAGTGTTACAATATTTGTTTTTCTTATATTTAAAAATATAAAACTTTTTCCTGAAAAAACAATTATAAATGCTTATAAATTTAATGTGTTCTACATATTATGTAAAAATATTTTAATCCTTTTTCTTTTAAAAAATTTAATTAAACATTGGGTGAAAAATCAGAAAACATAGCCGCTGATGAATTGATACATATAGCTGACCTTAAATTGTTACACAAAGCAAAATTCGGGAGCAACAATATAAACAATAAGAAAATGTTTGTCCTTTAAAATGATATTACTCGTGTCATTTCACTCTCACAAAGAGGTTAGATCCACACTTCTATTTTTTTATTCACTTTCTCTCTCTTCCGTGATTTATCTCTTTCTCTCACTTAAAATGACATAATTTTAGATTCTTTAAAATGATACACACTTTTTCCTATAAATAAAGATTGTTAAGAAAATATCTATGATATTAAGCAAAAAATTTTCTCTTACAATCATAGATGATAAAGTTATATAAAAAACCTCAAAATAATATTATTTTGGAGTTTAGGAAAAAATACAGGGTATTTTAAAATTTTTATTTTTTTCTTATATTATAAATTTTATTAAAATATCTTGTATTTTTTTTCTAAATCTCAAAATGACATCATTTTAAATTTGTAAGAAATAGCTTATCTCCTATTAGGGAAAAACATTAATCCATAATAAAAATAAGATACACCACATAAACAAACCTTAGTTTACATGCCCATCGTTACTTTAAATCAATTTTTATTTTATTTATTTGTTTACAATTACTTCAAATCGTTTAACATTTCGTGCCAGGTGGGAGAATTTTTTTTAATGAAAATCAAACTGGCCTTTCTCAAATGAAAAACCTTTCGTGACCCGGAAAGTTCTGTCAGACGAAAAAAAAAACATCGAAAGAGCTATTATATTATGCTATTCATATACCAATATAATGAAGCTAATACATTATTAAAATTCAATAGAGTCAGAAACCCTTCGCCAAAACCTGTAGTCAAATTGTCTTATAATTGTTGTTTAAAAGACGGTGATATTAGATATCACTACGAGGTTTGAACCCATGTATACAAAATAGATGAGATTAATAATCACAAAACACAGTGCAATAATAAAATTAAGAATAGACTCACAGTATTAGAGAAAAGGAATAGAACATAATATGCAGAATAATGAAATAAAGTGAGTCCCCAGACAGTATCTCCTTAAGATAATTTGCCCTCACTGATACCAAAGGTTGATAGACACTTATCTCTCAGGATAACAGATTATGTCTAAAAATTGATGACACTCTCAGTCAACAGCCCAAACGAACATAATAAGATGCCAGAGGAATTAGACCAAAAAACGGAAGAAAGCATGCAAAATCAAGGAAAACATCCGGCAGGGTATAAGTGCAAAAACCCGGATGAAATTTCTAAAAGGGTCACGGTCTATATATAGACACTGACCAGTCACGATGAGTCACAACCGGCGGCAATCCACCGTGATTGACGATCGTGAACGAGTACAACCGATGACCAGTTCGATGAACGAGTACAACCAATGACCGATTCGGTCTAATATGAATGAACATGTCGGTGTGAACCGAAAGGTAAGAACTGTTTCGGTTCAAAATGTTCAAAAAATCGGCGAGAAGAAACATTTGGGTTATTTTGGACAAAAAAGTTAATAAAATAATTTAATAAAAAATCCAAACCGAGCCGGTCGGCGCACACACGTGATTGACCAAAGACCACCTAACTAACTCCTCTGCTCTCCACAAAAGTGTAACGCCCGAGACGAGACGACAATTTAGGATCGTGAGCTTATAAACTCTCGCGGCTGTTACTTACTGTCTAATATGGAACTTCTTGGAACCCGCACACACCTCTGACTTTTTCATCTTTTGTTTTCTTCTTTTAACTCACTTGTTATTTATATCCCATACATATTCCAACAGTTACATAAGAGTAGAGGTGTCAATATGGGTTGACACGACACGAATTTGATACGACACGAATTCGACACGACACAAATACATCAACACGAACACGACACGAATTTTCATTCGTGTCAAAATCTTCAACACTTACACGACACGAATTTTTTGCGGGTTGACACGACACGACACGAATAACACGCAAAATAGAGGACAAAACGGTAATTGACAAAAAAAATTTAAAAAATAGATCGAAAATAAAGAAAAAATAAAAAAATAAAAATAAAAAAATAAAAAAATAAAACGGGTCGACACGAACACGAATTCATAAACACGAACACGACACGAATTTTTTGCGTGTCATTTTTTCCAACACGAACACGACACGAATTTTTTTACGGGTCAACCCAAACACGAATTTTCGTGTCGTGTCGCAGGTCGACCCGCGTGTCAAAACCCATATTGACACCCCTACATAAGAGAAGAGAAGAAATAATTAAAATCACTCCTAATGATCATTAACTCACATTTAACTCTCATGTCTGGTTGGTGAGAAGGTTTCAGTTTTATCCTTTGTCTTTGTCTTTCTGTTTTGTGTTTTTTTTTTCCTCTAGGTGTTTCTGTGGTACGAGGTGGTTTAATGGCACATCTTGGGAATTCTCATTCTCAAACGGAAGAAGGTACAATGGGTTGGGGTTGGAATCTCATGTTGGATATCTCTGTTTGGTTATTGAGAAAGTTAAGCCAAAAAAGGGAAATGCTTGTGTTTTTTTAGCAAGTGGGGATTTATAGTGCTTTTTTTTTTTTTATAATGAAATTGAGAGATGAATGCCCCTTTTTCTTTGCGAATATGGAGGAAACTGGGGCACGGCTAAGAAGAAAAATGAAAGAGATAAGTTGTTAACTTTCTAAGAAACCATGCAGAGCCATTAAGATTCCGTTTTTTCTCTTCTTATTTGTTTTTATTTTGCGTTTGGCAGATATAAGACGTGACGATCTGTATGAAAAGTTATGGAAGTCGTGTGCAGGACCTGTGGTTGATGTTCGTGTTACTGGAGACAGAGTTTTCTACTTCCCTCAGGGTCACATGGAACAAGCATGTTTCTTTTTTCTGTGGCTGATTTTGCTTTTTTTATTTTTTTTTTTATTTTTTGACATTTTGGCCTTATGAGATTTTTATTTGTTGCAGTTGCAAGCATCAACCATTCAGGAATTGAACCAGGAAATTACCCATTTCAATCTCCCGTTCAAGATTTTCGAGCCACTAACAAAACAGAGACCTAATATTAAAGAAATAAATTTCAGGTAAAAAAATGGGGGTTAAAACTTAAAAGTTTATTTGTTTTTTAAAATAATTTTTTCTTTCTTTCTTTGATAATGTTTTTATAAAGCAAAAAAAGGCCCCAGCTTCTGATGATGTTGTATGGGGTTTCCTTTCCAGTTGGGTTTAGTTCTTGCCAATTTTTAGACTTTGTTTATGTGATTGATTTTAAACACATTGGATTTTACTATATCATCTCTGATCTTTGTTGAGTATATTAACCTGCAGGATACAAGAATCATATTATGATAATCCCAGCTTCCATTGTAACTGTGGCGATCCAGAATCAATGTCACGTGGTTTTGAGGATCCACTTCCTGGTTAGTTTATTGAAGTCACAACCGTCTCCTGATAGAAGGAATTAGAGTCTTACTCACTGGTATATGAATCTGTTGCTGACTATGGTTTTCTTACAGGACTGAGAAGTTTTTCTGGTGTAAAGAGGAAGTTACCCGAGGACACAAGAAAAAATGATGTGGAGTGCTTTAATACATCCGATGACTTGATTTCCTCAAATTGTAAAAGAAGCAGATTATAAGCAGAGTTAGATGATTATAAGCTGTTCCCTACTCTCCCTCGAGGACTTGGTTTTATATTTTTGGCTGATCTCTCAAATGTGAGACGATGTTGTCGTTGGAAATTTAATTGTATGATGTGATACCACTTGTTGGAGATGGAATAAACAAACAGAACAAGTATACTAGTATCAAACTTTTACAAAGACAAAACACAAAGTGTTACAGCACTATGTCTAATTTTTTTCAAGGATAACTCTTTGTCAAACTCTCTTTTCTTCTTTCTATTTTTTTTTCACAAGTGTTTCAGCACTTTACTTTCTCACACTCTTCACACACTTTCAATCTTTCTATTCACTCATTACCACAACATGCCTAATATACAACACACACATATATATAGATGTACATGAAAGAGTTCAACTTGAACTTGATAACCTATTACAATCACTAGTCTTCATCTTTGACCATTCTTACAACTTTCTAGTCTTCAAATTGAATTTGATAACTTATAACAACCACACACTTAATACAACTTATAGCGATAGGATAAGATTTCCAACTCATCATGGGTTGACAATGGATAGAATTCAAGAAAGATTTGGATTTTTCTAGAGTCTTCAAGCTTCTATGAGTTTTCTTCTAGCGTCCATAATCTTCTACAACTTTTGACTTCTATCATATTCTAAATACTTCTAGCATGACGGAGATTAGAGATGACGTGGCAAAATCTAAATTTGATTTCTAATAGTTGTAGTATTAGGATTGTTTGATTCTGCTTGTTTTCTTGCTCAAACTACCAAAAAAACAAAAAGTTGTGAGAAGACATCTATACTAGTATCTGTAAGTGATTCATTTAGAAATTTGATTCTAATATATAAACTTAGATTTGAAAACTGGGAATATATCCTTAGCCGTTATTTAAATGAGAAAGGTTATACTTACAACTTTTTTTTTTTACAACCTCTTACAACCATATCTTAATACCGTTGATTTCTGCTCATCAACGGTTATCATTTATTGTGAATTAATAATTAATTAATGAGATTAATTTGCAAAAATCATAATCATTGATTGACAGAAATCAACGGTGTTAAGTTATAGTTGTAAGAGGTTATAAAAAAAAAAAGATTGTAAGTATAACAATTCTCTATTTAAATTTCTAAAAATTTCCTATCAAAAAGGGCAACACGATGCTATAAAACTTTCCCTGTACGCGCGTTTCAATTATTGACCAGTGAATTTTGTAGTTTATGTTGGGAAGACATGTGGTTCCATTTATATTAGTTGGCTATTACTACTTGAAGTTTTGTTATATAACTCAGTTAATCACTCACTTAATTGTTAAAATATATTTTAAAAGTAAATATATTTTTAATATAACCTAAAAGAGTCGAAGCTCGTGGGGATACCGGAGGGAGCCAACTCGTCTCAGAGAGATAATTATGGTTGGGTAACTCCAAAAAAATAATAATTTCTAGATCAATTATTGATTTGGCTTATATAAGAAGTTTTTACCTAAATTTTCGTGGGCTTTTACAAACTGAACTTTGATGCCGCTACCAAAAGGTGTGGGTTTTGCGGAGCTGGGGCTATCATTCGTGGTAGCAGTTTCGTGGCCTTGTATTACGGTTAAAAAAACTTCATGGCCTTATTGTGTTATCTCACATGGTCTACATCCAATCGACTGAAGCCTTTCCATTCCATTTGGCTCTTAATTTTTCTCTAGGGATGAACCTGGTGAAAAAATAGTTTGGAGGTACTAGAGTTTTTCTAAAGGGATTAATCAACCATGCCATGGATGAGTTATGAAAGATTGCGTTAATCTTTTCCCTCAATTTATATCCTCAACTGTTTCACAAGTGAGAAGAAATGGGAATATGAACTTGCTTAACTTGCTCTCTTTTTATCATCCAAATTATCAATTGTGTGTGGATTGAAGAAGCGGTTGAGGCTATTTTAAAACTAGCTCTCTTGGACATGTCTTAGTACTCATTAATAAATGCTTTTCTAATTATGTACCCAAAAAAAAAAAAAAAGTGTCTTTCTAGTTAAAAAGAGAAAGAACAAATCTTCGGTGGATAAATAGAGAACACCTTAAACTCGAGTACTATAAAAAATGCGCATAATATTAACCCATCAAAAAGAGTAAATTATAATAGTATATACCATTTGTTTGGGAAATGAAGATTTATGTCTAGTGGGATAGTTACTATTTATATCTACGGAGCTTATGGTAAAGATGACAGGTAACGAGAAGTCCTGCACCTTAGGCTAAAGTCCGATGGTATTAACAATGAATGTATGTGTGTGTGAGCCACCTGTTTAGTAGATAAGATGTGCTCTGAACACAAATGTGAATGTTGTAGCCATGGTGGTAAATCTTGTGAATACTGAGATCAGTTATTAGATGAGAGCCCCCTTTGCTAGCTATAAGAGATCATATATAGATGAAATACACTAAGAGGTTGTGCCCCTAGTGGTAAGAGATCATATATAGACGAAATGCACTAGGAGGTTGTGCTCCTAGTGGATAGTTTGCAGGTGACTTAATGACATGATGCAATGCTTACTGAGTGGTTATTTGTAGTGGATGGAAATTAAGAAAGAGTGGTAGAATGAGATGCTCCATGTAGTGGGGATAGAAAGTGGAAACCACTTAAGTGGTCTATAACAGAAAGATAAGAATTTGTTATTATGGTTGACGACTCCATATCATCTCACTCATCTTCTAGAATTTGTAGTGATTGATAATCTATCTAACTAGTTAGTTACTGTTATGGAATAAATCTCGTCAACAATACAGAATGAGTCCCTCACATGATCACAATGACACTTAATCCTGTATATTGACTTGCAGAACTTGTCCGCGAAATTAACTCAATAAATATGGAAAGAATTTTGAAAAACACATTAATGTGATATATATTTTACTCAATTGCTTTTAAATGGTCAAAAAGTCATTCATATTTCATTCCTTAATATCTTACCGTCAAAAACTCAATGGTGCAGATGTAACCGTTGTGTCCGAGGAGAGTGAAGACACATCTGCGGATATTGTAGTTCCACACCTTGATCTTGTAATTGTCACCATCAGAGACAAATAGGGGTTCAAATTTGTGGAAGTGGACACCACGAACTGGACCTTTATGATCCTCGAGGGTGTCAGCAATAGTTGGATCATGCCACTGGAGAGACTTGCGAGGATCCATGGTCTTTGAATGTAAAAATTGAGGCCTTTCACACTGTTGCTTTTCGTTTCAAACTTGGTCAACATCTTCGCAACTTACACTTCCTTCAATTTGTCATTTCAAAAGTTTGTCTCCTTTTCTTCAAGGTGGCATATATTTCTTAAGTATATACATGCAAATTGTTATGGACCTGACAAAGGCCAATATTCTAGAAAAATCAATAAAGGACAACACAAAAGGAAGGGAATCTCCTATTAATGACAATCTTATCCAGACAGCTAAGCAGTTGGACTTGGGCCCCCAATATTCCTAAGAGGCCCAGAAGTACACTCCTTCAGGTAACCCACCTATAAATAAGGGGTTAAACCAATAAGGTACACACACACTCTAAACCCTCTCTCTTAGCTTGTCACTGTGCACACACCCCACACCTTGACTATGTCGATCATTATTGTGCACAGTGATCTGCCTACCATCAAAGGTATCTCATTTATATACCTGAGAGAGGGCATATAGATCCTACATAAAATATATCAGCCACCAGCTGGACATCTCTGTCTTTCACACAGAACATTGGCGCCGTCTGTGGGAATTAAAATCTCAAGTCCAACTCGGCACATTGTTCGGGTTACTGCTGTTAATTTAGAAATCGGCTTCTCGGCTGCTGGTTTGTGATATCTCATCTCGGCTAAGGACGTTGCAAATGCTTACAAAGGTGGCCTCCCAGCAAGGATTATAATTGGCAATGCATGTTCTGCCCCACTACCAGTTGCAAAGTTGAAATCTCAAAAAGCTCACTAGTCCACACATCAGATTAGACAGATACAGTTTACTCAGTTGATGATGAGATATAGAAGATGGCGGACTATGTAAAGACATTACAATATTACTTCTTGCATTCTTATAAGAAGACTGAACAAGGGATATAAATCAGTGTCCCAAAAAACTTGAGATATGAGAACATAAAGACTTGGTGGAAGTTCTGCATCCGTGGTGGACGGAGGGTATACCAAATGCTTGATAAAACCAAGGCTTGATCCCGACATAATTAATGTTAGCAATGGTACTGATAGTAAAAGTATTCTCCAAGCTTAACCAAACACCAAAAGCAAAGATATCTTGTTGGGAAGTAGGACTCTTTCATCATTGAGATATTGGCTTCAGAAGCACAACTCAGATAAGAAGATAATTCCATAAGATAATAGAGATTGAGGAGCTAAACTGAACATCCAAGCAAGAGGATGTAATACGCCAAAGCAGTTTGGCCAAGAACCTCAGTCTCCAAATTAAGAAACTTAGACATTGATCCGAGATACAAATCAGCACGGCTACGACCTCGGGCTCCAAGAAAAAAAATGAAGACAGGTTTGGAGAGATTTGGTCTTAGAAAAAGGATCACACCCCAATCCGCGATAAAGACCCAGGATAAAAATCCGGGGTAAATGAAACTCTGGCAAGAAGCCGAGTTAAATATTTTGAGACCGAGGTAGTGGAACTCGTCTTGCCCAAGGGCAGGATCGTGAGTTCTAGCCGAGGCACGAAAAGCCGAGGTAGTGGAACCCGTCTTGCCCAAGGGCAAGATCGTGAGTTCTAGCCGAGGCACGAAAAGCCGAGATAGTGGAACCTGTCTTGCCCAAGGGCAAGATCGTGAGTTCTAGCTGAGGCAAGAAGAAAAGCCGAGGTAGTGGAACCCGTCTTGCCCAAGGGCAAGATCATGAGTTCTAGCCGAGGCACGAAAAGCCGAGGTAGTGGAACCCGTCTTGCCCAAGGGCAAGATTGTGAGTTCTAGCCGAGGCAAGAAAAGCCGAGGTAGTGGAACCTGTCTTGCCCAAGGGAAAGATCGTGAGTTCTAACAGAGGTAGTGGAACCCGTCTTGCATTTATTTCTAATATATAAAGGCACATATATAGGGGTGTGCAAAATAACCAAAAAACTGAACCGAATCATGAACCAAACCGAACCGCCCCTTAAAATAATGAGTTTTTAAAAATCAGTTCATGAACCGAACTGGTTTTTAAAGAACCAGTTCATGAACCGAACCGGTTTTTAGAACCAGTTTAAGAACCGAACCATTTTGAACCGAACCGAACCG